TCCTCTCCCGGGGACCAGAATTCAGAGGATCTCTCAAGTGAAATGCTTGTTTTCACGTGCCCAGGTCTTGAGGATGTCTAGAGCGAGACGCTTGGTTTCACGCCTCCAGGTTGCCCAGACAGATGTCTGGCATGAGGAGTTGTTAAGTATGTCTCGAACCAGAGGCTTATTTTCACGTGTCCAGGTCGCCCAGGCGGATGTCTAGCATGAGGATGTGTCGAGGAAGTCTCGATCGAGACGATTGTTTGCACGTGTCCAGGTTGCTCAGGTGGATGTCTAGCATGAGGATGTGCTGAGAACGTCTTGAGCGAACCGCGTGTTTTCACGTGTCCAGGTCGCCCAGGCACAGCACAGCCCTCGGCACGGTACATCAATATCGATACTTTTAGCATTGCAGCCTGGCATGTTGCCTGGCACGTTCCGCGGAGCGTCCCGTGGCGAGTCCCCCTGGCTCGTCGCGCGGTGCACGTCCATTGGCACGTTCCGTAGTGCGTCCCCTTGGCTACATCCCCGCGGTGCGTGCCCTGGCACGTACCCTAGCACGTCCGCCTGCGTCCTTGTAACGTTCGCACGCGTCCTCCGCGCAGAATGGCGCCCAGTACCCCTGGGGCGCTACCATCTGCTCAGGCAGTCAGCTCGAGCTTCACATCCAATCAAGTTTGGTCAAGTACTCGGATGCCAGGGAGGACTCGATCCACAACGCTATGTAGAGCACAATCGCGGCATGGCACATCGCAGTTCAGCACGGCGTAGCACAGCACGGCCCTCGGCACAGTACATCAAGATCGATACATTCAGCATTGCATGTGCCCATCGCCCAATCAGGCGTCTTCGAAACGTTGCCATGCCTTACAGTTCTATATTCCTTTCCGGGTTCGTGAGTCGATCATGTTGGATGAGTGCGACCTGGATTTTGACGGTCCGGTTTTCGTGGGGTGTTTGCAGCCGGATCTCGCGTCAAATTTCAGATTGGATCTCGTCATTTTCATGATGGCCCCGTCAGGCCAACCGGCCAGCCCGAGTTCCCCGTGCTCGAGTCTCACGTCTCCCCGATTGGGGGCCCCTCCAGAGACCGCGGAGGACCATTAGAAGGCCGCCCAGGGCCGATGGGCACCAGGGGGCCCCTGGCCGAACCTGCGCAGAGCAGGCGCCCCGGGAGAGGTCCCGGGAGCGGCGGTATGGCCACGTCCCCGCGAGGCGAGGAGGAGGAGGGCGAGGCGGAGGAGGAGGAGGGGGAGGAGGAGGAGGGCGAGGAAGGAGGAGGGAGAGGAGGAGTGGAGGAGGGGAGGAGGGAGAGGGGGGGGGGAGGGGGGGGGAGGAGGAGAGGAGTCGAGGGGCGGAGGAGGAGGAGGAGCGACCGCCGCCCCGCGGGTGGTCGCATGGCCCGCGGCGGCGGCGACCGCGGCGTGGCGGCCCATGGCCCGCTCGGCGGGGGCGCGCCCCGCCGTGGCCTGGAAGGGCGCAGGCCGAGAGCCGCTCCGGCCCCGGCCTGGCGGACGTCCTGCGCACCGGCGCCATCGGGGGCCCCCAAACGGTGTGGTGACCTCACCGTGCGGTGAGTCGGTGAGGATTCGGGGTCACCGCACGGTTTTGGGACTCGGGTCGTTCTCCGAGGACGTCTCGGGCGACTGGGGCCTCCGAGGTCCCAAGACCGTGCGGTGACGGACCGTGCGGTGAGGTCTTAGGGGATTTCGAGGTCACCGCACGGTCTGTCACCGCACCGCTTCGGGACTCCAAACGCCACTGGTGTGAAGTCGGGCCTGTCCCCTACAGGGGGATCTTCGGGGAAAAGATGCAAAAATACCCCCAAAACAACGAAGGAATCATCCAAAAATAGTCTGGGGACTGTTTGCAGTATTTTTTGACCTTTTTGGGGTATTGTTGGGGTACTTTTTTATTGTTCGTCGAAAGTCCCCCTGTACAGGGGGACTTTCGACGAACAATACGTAGGGGGACAGGCCCGACTTACGTCCCCCTACGTAGGGGGACAGGCCCGACTTACGCCTGTCCCCCTACGTAGGGGGACAGGCCCGACTTACGCCTGTCCCCCTACGTAGGGGATCTTCGGGGAAAAAATGCAAAAATACCCCCAAAACAACGAAGGAATCATCCCAAAATAGTCTGGGGACTATTTTCAGTATTTTTTGACCTTTTTGGGGTATTGTTGGGGTACTTTTTTATTGTTCGTCGAAAGTCCCCCTGTACAGGGGGACTTTCGACGAACAATACGTAGGGGGACAGGCCCGACTTACGCGAACAAACGTCCCCCCTACGTAGGGGTACAGGCCCGACTTCCGCCTGTCCCCCTACGTAGGGCTGTAGGGGGACAGTGCCCGACTTACGGCTGTCCCCCTCCGTAGGGGGCTCTTCGGTGAAAAAATGTACAAATCAAAAATCACCCCCAAACACGAAGGAATCTACTAAATTAGTCTGGGGACTATTTTCAGTATTTTTTGACCTTTTTGGGGTATTGTTGGGGTACTTTTTTATTGTTCGTCGAAAGTCCCCCTGTACAGGGGGACTTTCGACGAACAATACGTAGGGGGACAGGCCCGACTTACGTCCCCCTACGTAGGGGGACAGGCCCGACTTACGCCTGTCCCCCTACGTAGGGAACAGGCCCGACTTAACGCCTTCCCCTATACATAGGGGATATCTCGGGAAAAAAATGTAAATACCCCCAAAATACGAAGGAATCATTCTAAAAATAGTCTGGGGGACTATTTCAGTATTTTTTGACACTTTTTGGGGGTATTGGGGGGGTACTTTTTTTATTGTTCGCCCAAAGTCCCCCCTGTCGGGGGACTTTCGACGAACAATACTAAGGTGGCCCGAAGGCCCGACTTACGTCCCCCTACGTAGGGGGACAAGGCCCGACTTCGCCTGTCCCCCCTACGTAGGGGACGTAAGTCGGGCCTGTCCCCCTACGTAGGGGGACAGGCCCGACTTACGCCAGTGCGCAGACGCGGAGGTGTGGGCAGAGCCTGCCCGTTTCGGCCCTGCGGCCAGTCTCGAGGAGCGATCGGAGCTGAAAACTACCTCCTTCCTCGGTTCCCCTCCTTCCTCTGATCCTCCTGCTCCTGCTCCTCATCCCCTCCCTCCCCTCCCGCCCCTCTCCCCAAGCACACCGAGGGCCGTTTGAGACAGCGCCTCCGCCCGGTGCGCGAAAACACACGACCGGAGCCCCAGACCCTGTCGTTTTGCCGGCATTTTCCGAGCTGGATCGATCTGCGATGGCCCCAGGACCCGAAACCGTTTGAAAGCGCCCGGTGTGAAAACGTGACAACGCCGGGCTCTCGTGGTTCCTCCCTTCTCCCTCCTCCGGCGACTGCAATGGGTGTGGCTACGCCGGGGTGTGGTTTGCGATCTGCGCCGCTGGGGCTTGAGGGGTCACCACGTTGCGCCTCAGGCTTGACGAGCCCGTGCCTGGGCGCGGCAGCGATCTCTGTCGAGTTCCTTGCCCGACTCCCAAGACGCGGTTGCAACACACACACACACACGCACACACACACACACACACACACGCACGCACGCACGCACGCACGCACGCACGCACGCACACACACACACACACACACACACTTACACACACACACACACTTACACACACACACACTTACACACACACACTTACACACACACACACACGCACGCACATCACACGCACACACACACACGCACACACGACGCACACACACGCACACACACACTGCACTTACCACACACACACTTACCACCACACACTTACACACACACACTTACACACACCACACACTTACACACACAGACACACTTACACACACACACACTTACACACACACACTTACACACACACACACACACTTACACACACACTTACACACACACACACTTACACACACACTTACACACACTTACACACACACACACTTACACACACTTACACACACACACACACTTACACACACACACTTACACACACACACACACACTTACACACACAGACACACACAGACACACACACACCACACACACACACACACCTCGGAGCCGCCGACTCGGCCCTGGATCTGCACGAACGACATGGGCACGGAAATAATGGGTACAATGCCCTACAGCGGATCTTGCTCATTTTGAACAGGACTCGTTGTCCACGCCGCCGCGGCCTGTGTCCATTCGAGACAGATGGCCGCCTGCCCAACAGCGGCCGCTGTTGGTTTGGGACGACATCTGTTGTAGGGCGTTGTACCCATTCATTCCGTACCCATTTCGGGCGTCCAGACTGGACCTCCGACGTCTTGAGGCAAGTCGTGGCGGCCGGTTCTCCAGGGTCCGGGGCCTCCAGGGGCCCGCTCCGGGCCCCCAGGGAGGCCCTGGAAGGACGGGCGCGAGGCGAGGAGTCTGCCCTGTGGGTTGGGCCCGGAGCTCGTGGAGCACCTCCTGCCTCACTCCTGCCTCCTCGCAGGCCGAAGGGGGGCCTCGCCACTCCAGGAGACGCGGGCGCCGCACCACAGCAGGAGGAGGAGGAGGAGGAGGAGGAGGAGGAGGAGGAGGAGGAGGACCAGGAGGAGGACCAGGAGGAGGATGAGGAGCGACTCCCCTGGGCCAGGGAGGGGGCGCGAGCGGAGGCAGGCAGAGGAGGCAGAGGAAGAGAGGGAAGGGAGGGGAGGGGAAGCAGTTGCCCCAAGGGGTCTCGCTAGCGCCAGGCGGAAGCCCTCGAAGGAGCCTCCTCCTCCCTCCCCTCCCTCCCTCCCCCCCCCCCCACCGCCCCACCCCTTCTCTCCCCCCCCTGCCCCACCCCCCCCCCCCCGCCTTTCCCTCCCTCCTCTCCCTCGCCTTCCCGGATCCATCCCCTCCTCCCGCCCTCCCTCCCTCCCCCCCGTCCCCTCCCCCCTCCCTTCCTCCCCCCCTCCCTCCCTCCCTCCCTCCCTCCGTCCCTCCCCCACGCCTCCTCCCCCCTCCCCCCTCCCTCCCTCTCTCCCTCCCTCCCTCCCTCCCTCTCTCCCCGCCCGCCCCTGCAGGAGTCCTGCAAGCTGAAGGCCGGCGAGTACGCCACGCGGGTGGAGCTGCAGCAGGGCGAGCAGGCGGCGATGGCCAAGGACGGCGCGCCCTGCGAGCGACGAGGGACCTCCAGGTGCGAGGTTCTCGGCCTCGAGCGCCGAGGACTCCCGACTTTTTCGTTGGTTCTCGGGCGGAGCTGCCGCAGGGCGAGCAGGCGGCGGTGTGGCCAAGGGCAGCGCGCCCTCGTCAGCATCGCTTGACCGATCCCCATCCCCATCCCGAGCCCCACCAGTGCACCTCCCCAGTTGGGGATCTACGTCCAACGACGACACAATCACGGGGTATGGAAGAAGTTGGCCTGTATGTGGTATGCGATGGTCGAGTGAGGCCGGCGCCCTGGCTAGCCTTAAGCTGGCGCCCCGGCACCACCGCCTAGTCTGAAGTCGGGCCTTTCCCTCTACAGGAGGAATATTCAAAACTAGTCAAGCACTAGCACTTTTTACAATGTTGGAGTATGTTGCCCGAAAGGGCTCGGGCCCAGGGTTTTCTTTTAGTTGATTAACCCCCCAGCCCCTACGGGAAGAGGGCCAGCAACATCATTCTGCGATGAATTGCGAGGTAAAGTGTGAATTGTCAGTTGAACAAGTGCGTTCTTCGCCTGCCTTGCGCGAGGAAAGTTTGCCCAAACATCTCGGATCCTCGATAAATAACGGGGTCCGCAGACCACAGTTTTCTTTAGTTTAAAAAGAGGGTGCCGCGCGTTATGTACGAGGTCTGGATACCCGAACCATTTGTAAAAAAAAGGCCACCCAGGAGGTATCTAACATGGTGGTCCCGAGCTAGACCACGTGTTTTCTCGTGTCCAGGCCACCCAGGGGGGTATCTAACATGATTGTCCCGAGCTGGAACCACGTGCTTTTACGTGTCCAGGCCGCCCAAGGGGGGTATCCAACACGGCGTCGGGCCCAACGCCTAATTATCAGGAAACGCACGGGGGGCCGGAAAGCGTTACCCGAACACATTGCTCTGTACAGTGAGTGGTGCTTTGGGGGCCTCTCCAGGAAAGACAGTGCGAGAATGTCTCGAGCGGTAGCGCGACTTCAGCGTATCCAGGCCACGCAGGGGGGTATTTGACATAGTTACCCCGAGCTGACACCACGTGTTTTTACATGTGTTGGCCACTCAGGGGTGCATCTAACACGGTTGTCCCGAGCAAGGACCAGGTGTTTTAACATGTCCAGGCCACCCAGGGGTGTATCTAACATGGATGTCCCGAGCAAGGACCATGTGATTCAACGTATCCAGGCCACTCAGGGGTGCATCTAACATGTTTGTCCCGAGCTGGCACCACGTGTTTTTACATGCCCAGGCCACTCAGGGGTGAATCTAACATGGTGGTCCCGAGCGAGGACCACGTGTTTTAACATGTCAAGGCCACCCAGGGGTGTATCTAATATGGTTGTCCCGAGCTGGTACCCACGTTTTTACGTGTCCAGGCAGGGGTGTATCTAACATGGCTGTCCCGAGCCAGGACCACGTGATTTAACATGTCCAGGCCACCCAGGGGTGTCTCTAACATCGTTGCCCAGAGTTGGATCCACGTGTTTTTACATGTCCAGGCCACCCAGAGGGGTATCTAACATGATTGTCCCGAACTGGCACCACGAGTTTTACGTGTCCAGGCCGCCCAGGGTGGTATCTAACATAGCGTCGGGCCCAACGCCGAAGTATGCCGAAGTATCAGGAAACGCACGGGGGGCCGAAAAGCGACACCCGAGCACAGATCCGAATACAGAAAAGTGATGTGTTCTTGCTCTGTACAGGGGTTGGTGCTTTGGGGGCCTCTTCAGGGAAGAGTTTGCGAGGATGTCTCGAGCGGGAGCGCGACTTCAGCGTATCCAGGCCACGCAGGAGGGTATCCCACATGGTTGTCCCGAGCTGGCACCACGTGTTCTTACATGTCCAGGCCACCCAAGGGGATGTCTAACATGGTTGTCCCGAGCAAGGACCAGGTGTTTTCACGTGTCCAGGCTACCCAGAGGGTAATTTACATTGTGGTCCCGAACCGGCACCACTTGTTTTTCCCGGAAAGGGCGTTGGCCCAGGGTTCTCTGTTAGCATGTTTACCCCCCGGCCCCGACGGCTCTAGGGGTGGCGAAAGTATTCTGTGATCAATAACGAGGTAAAGTGTGACTTTGCAGTTGCACAAGTGCGTTTTTCGCGTGCCCGCTCGAGGAAAGTTTGCCCCCCATCTCGGATTCTCGATAACTAATGGGGTCCGCAAACCATGGGGTCCGCAGACCATAGTTGATTAACCCCCCAGCCCCTACGGGAAGAGGGCCAGCAACATCATTCTGCGATGAATTGCGAGGTAAAGTGTGAATTGTCAGTTGAACAAGTGCGTTCTTCGCCTGCCTTGCGCGAGGAAAGTTTGCCCAAACATCTCGGATCCTCGATAAATAACGGGGTCCGCAGACCACAGTTTTCTTTAGTTAAAAAAGAGGGTGCGGCGCGTTTTGCGCGGAATCCATGACGAATGACGAGGTCTGGATACCCGAACCATTTGTAAAAAAGGCCACCCAGGAGGTATCTAACATGGTGGTCCCGAGCTGGACCACGTGTTTTCTCGTGTCCAGGTCACCCAGGGGGGTATCTATCATGATTGTCCCGACCGCGACGCGGAAAAAGCGTCACGCGCGCAGGAACTCCGAGGATGCCTCGCGCGTGCCGCGCCCCGCGCGCAGGAATGTCGAGGATGTCTCGACTCATTCGCTCGATGTTCCAGGACTTCCTTGGCCACACGGGGGGGGGCACCTAATTCACACGTTCTGCCCGAGCTGGAACCACGTCGCTGCACGCGTCCAGGCCACCCAGGGGGGTGTATCTGACATGGTGGTCCCGAGCTAGTTCCACGTGTTTTTACGTGTCCAGGCCGCCCCAGGGGGCGTATCTAACATGACTGTCCCGGACTGGAGCCCATGTGTTTTTGCGTGTCCAGGCCGCCCCAGGGGGCGTATCTAGCATGCTGGTCCCTCCGCTCGGGGGCGGAAAAGAGGGGGGTGATGACTAGGGGGGGGTGGATATCATGGCGGGGGCCATGATATTTCCCCAGATCTCGTGGCGCCTCTTCGTATTTCATTACGTCCCTGGCCCCCCCGCTGCGCCCGGGCGCAAAGGCCCGCAGGTCATCATGATTTCCGATCCCCCCATCCTTGGCCCCCCCCCCCCCCCCCCCCCCCCCCCCCCTTTGGCCGCTCCCGATCCGCGCCCTCTCCCCCTGCGGGCCCTCCCCCGAAGTCCGCCCACCCCCTCCTGCTCCCTCCTCGCCCCCCTCCTGCTCGCTTCCTGCTCGCCCTCCTCCTGCTCCCCTCCTGCTCCCTCCTCCTGCTCCCCTCCTGCTCCCTCCTGCCCACCCCCCACCCCTCCTAGCCCCCCCCCTGTGCTCCTCTGCCCCCCCCTCTCCCACCCGGGTGGGACCCCCTCCTCGCTCCCTCCTCGCTCCCCCCACTCACCCTCCCCCCCACTCGCTCCCTTCCCTCCTTCCACCCGGGTCTTGACCTTGCTCTCTAACCGGTTTGGTTCTGGCAATCATCCGACTGGAGATGGGGCGCGTTTTTACGAGCCCAAAAGCAGCAAAACAGTTCTCACCCCTCTCTCCGCTGTCTCCTGCCTTCTCCGGCCCTACACCTCCCCTTACCCCTCCCTCCCTTCCCACTCCCTCATTTCTCCCTCCCACCTCTTAGGATGCAATTCCTGGGAGGCCAACTTCAGAATTGGTGCTGGTATACTCCTGGCGAAGAAAGGGTCCAATCTGGTCTACTCCCGCTCAATCCAGCTGAATCCAGTCGAATCCGGCCTAATCCTGTTTACTCCGGCTTGATCTCGGGCCTAGTTTGGCCTAATTTGGCCCAGTGGCCTCCTAGTCGGACTTTAACAGCCCTCAGTCATCCTGATGAAGACCTCCCCTGAGTTGCCTCCTAACTCACCCCTCACCTGCTCGTCCGCCCTCCCGCCCCCTCAGGCGCGGTCCATGCAGCCTGGAAACATGTTGTCCAGGGCAGGCGCCCACGGCAGACTCACAGGGAGAAGAACGTCTGTTTTCTCCCCCCTTCTTGGACTCATTTTAAGGAGGACCCAGGACAGATGGTCCTCTGAAGAGGAGGGGTCAAGCAGACGCCGACTGTTGAAACCAGTTCTCGCCCACCCTCCCTCCCTCCCCTCCCTGAGATCCGACGTCTCGAAAAAAGTGAGACGCCGCGACGAATGACGCCTGGAGCCTCAGACCCCATCTTGCTGCGCCTTTTTTTTGAGCCGGAGCGATCTGTGATAGGCCCTGGGCCCGAAGCTGGGCGAACACGTCCCGGCTCCCAAACAATTGTGGCGCCATGATCTCAGGGTCCTCGGGACGGCCAGGAGGGGGGTGATGTCATGACGTGGGCCATGATATTTCCTCATACTTCATGGCGCCTGCTCTCATTTCATCACGTCCCCGGCCCCCCCCCTGGGCCGCGCATGTGCCGCCGGCCATGCGCCCCCCCCTCTCTTGGAGGCCCCCCTCTCAAGCAGTGGCGAAGCGTCCTGGCTCGCCTATAGCCCTACCAAACAATGTTCTAAGAACCTTTTGTGGTTTCCACGAAATGTTCTTAGAACATTTCTGGGGGAGTCTGTCTTGTTTTATCACATCGGTTTTATGTAGTATGAATGTTGTTTTTATTAGTATTATTATTATTATTATTATTATTATTATTATTATTATTATTATTATTATATTTTTGTGTTCTGGGAACACCTCATGGTCGGACCATAGGAATGCCGAGACGGTCGGTCCCTGCTCAACGAGGGGGATTCGAGGCTCCAGGTTCGACGGCAAATGTTCGAAGCAGTCTGCCCTTGCTCTCCCCTGTGTGGGCTTCTCGGGGCTTCTCGTCGCCTCGGCTGGATCCTCCTCCTCCTCCCCCTCCCCCTCCTCCCCCCTCCCCTCCTCTCCTCCTCCTCCTCCTCCTCCTCCTCCCTTCCTCCTCCCCCTCCTCCTCCATCATGGTGCGGTTGCCTGGCCACCGCTGGCCCCCGGGCGGGGCCCCCTGGGAGCCTGCGGCGCCGCGGGGCCCCCGCGGCCTCCCCGGGCAGGCCATCGAGATCCTCTCGGACGTCACGGGCGTGAGGACGGCCCCGCGGCACCGGCCGCGCCCCGCCCCGCCCTGCCCCTCCTCGGGTGTTGCTGGAAGTGCCCCTGGCCGAAAGGTACCCCCAGGATCCTCGGGGTGGCCCAGGCGGCCCCCAGAGCACCCCTCACGAGGCCCAGAGGGCCCCCGGGGCTCCAAACTGTGCGAAAAGTTGGGGGCAGCTTGGGCCAGGAGCACTTCTAGCAACACCCGGCCCTCCCCTCCTCAGCAAGGGTGAGGGGTAAGCCGAAGAAGAAGAAGAAGAAGAAAAAAGAAAAAGCGCCACGCACATATAAACTTTTGGCGCGCCGCGCGGATCGCTTAGATCCGCGCCGGCCCCCCCCGGCGGCGCCACCGGCGCCACCCCTGGCGCTGCTCCTGGCGCGCTTCAGGGACGGGGGTCCAGCGCAGATCCAAGAAATCCGCGCGGAGCGCAAAAAGTTTATGTTTTTGGCGGTTGCTTGTTCTTTTTCTATGAAGACTATGCTGCGTGAGGCTCTTCTCATCATCATCATCCTCATCATGATCATCACCATCGTCATCATCACCATCGTCACCCTTTTCCCAGAAAAGGCGCGGGCCCAGGGTTCTCTTTACGGTTTGTTTCCCCCCCGGTTTCGACGGGAAGCCGGCCCGCGAAATTATTTGCGATACATAATAAAGTAAAGTCCCATTCGGCGTGGGAAATTTGAGGATGTCCCTAACGAAACGCTTGTTTTTGAAATCCCGATTGATAAATCATAGGGTGCGGGACTCATTTTGGTCAAACAAATGCATCCCGTGAGAGCTGGAACCAAGTGTTTTCACGTGTCCAGGCCGCCCAGGGGGGGTATATAACATGGTGGTCCCGAGCCAGAACCACGTGTTTTATTTGTCCAGGCCACACTGGGGGGTATCTGACATGATGGTCTCGAGCTGGAACCGCGTGTTTTCACATGTCCAGGCCACCCAGGTGGGTATCTAACATGGTGGTCCCAAGCTGGTACCATGTGTTTTTACGTGTCCAGGCCACCCAGGGGGTGTATCTAACATGATTGTCCCGAACTGGACCCATGTGTTTTTCCCAACCATCCTGTGGTGTTGGGTCCTCGTTTTGAAGAGACAGCGCCCCGCGTTCACTCCTTCCTTCCTTCCTCCCTCTGCCCCCTCCCTCCTTCCACTATCACAGCACACCCCTCACACGTTTCGTGGCCCCATAGAGAGCTCCACCGAGGGCCCCAGTGGCTGCGTTGGCATGGCGGCACCGCACCCATTTCGGCACACCACCCCTCACACGCTTCGTGGCCCATAGGGAGCTCCACCGAGGGCCCCAGTGGCTGCGTTGGGGGCACGCCCCCACCCATTTCGGCACCTCCTCACACGTTTCGTGGCCCCCGCGGTCATAGGGAGCTCCACCGATGGCCCCCAGTGGCCCATAGGGAGCTCCACCGGGCCCCAGTGGCTGCGTTGGCATGGCGGCACCGCGCCCATTTCGGCACACCCCTCACACGTTTCGTGGCCCCATAGGGAGCTCCACCGAGGGCCCCAGTGGCTGCGTTGGCATGGCGGCACCGCACCCATTTCGGCACACCCCTCACACGTTCGTGGCCCCATAGGGAGCTCCACCGAGGCCCCAGTGGCTGCGTTGGCATGGCGGCACCGCACCAATTTCGGCACACCCCTCACACGTTTCGTGGCCCCATAGGGAGCTCCACCGAGGGCCCCAGTGGCTGCGTTGGCATGGCGGCACCGCACCCATTTCGGCACACCCCTCACACGTTTCGTGGCCCCACAGGGAGCTCCCAGTGGCTGCGTTGGCATGGCTGCACCGCACCCATTTCGGCACACCCCTCACACGTTTCGTGGCCCCACAGGGAGCTCCACCGAGGGCCCCAGTGGCTGCGTTGGCATGGCGGCACAGCACCCATGTCGGCACACCCCTCACACGTTTCGTGGCCCCATAGGGAGCTCCACCGAAGGCCCCAGTGGCTGCGTTGGCATGGCGGCATCGCACGCATGTCGGCACACCCCTCACACGTTTCGTGGCCCCACAGGGAACTCCACCGAGAGCCCCAGTGGCTGCATTCGCATGGCGGCACCGCAGCCATTTCGGCACACCCCTCACACGTTTCGTCGCCGAGGGCCCAGGACAGCGCTTCGTGGCCCCATAGGGAGCTCCACCGAAGGCCCCAGTGCTACCGCCCGCATGCGTCCTGTACGCCCAGGGCAGCGCTTCGTGGCTCCATAGGGAGCTCCACCAAAGGCCCCAGTGCTACCGCCCGCATGCTTCCCGTACTCCTAGGAGAGCGTTTCGTGGCACGCCTTTCGTGTCCCCATAGGGAACCCCACCGACAGCGGCACCCACAACGCGTTATTCACAATTGCATATGGTTGGGTCCTTCGCCAGGATAATTACGTGTCCAGTCCGCCCAGGGGGCGTATCAAACATGGCGTCGGGCCCAACGCCGAATTATCAGGACACGCACGGGGGGGCCGAAAAACGCTACCCGAACACATATCCCAATCCAGAAAAGTTATGTTTTCTTGCTCTGGACAGGGGGTGGCGCGTTGGGGGCCTCTCCAGGGAAGACACTGCGAGGATGTCTCGAGCGGGAGCGCGAATTCAGCGTATCCAGGCCACGCAAGGGGGTATCTAACATGATTGTCCCGAGCTGGAACCGCGTGTGTTTACGCGTCCAGGCCACCCAGGGGGCTATCTAACATGGTTGTCCCGAGTTGGAACCACGTGCTTTGACGTGTCCAGGCCACCAGTCCAGGCCACGAGGGGGTGTATCTAACATGGTTGCCCAGAGGAGGAGGAGGAGGAGGAGGAGGAGGAGGAGGAGGAGGAGGAGGAGGAGGAGGAGGAGGAGTCCCTCCCCTCGCCCCCTCCTGCCGGTCTGGAGATCCAGCCCGTGAGCGGCGGGGGTGCGGTCGGCGGGCCAGGGGCTGTCCGAGGGGGCCCCGAGGCTCCCCCAGGGGCGGCCTGCAAAAGAGGCAGCCGCGCGCTCGACGGGAGGAATCGGGAACCGACGAGGACGAGGAGGAGGAGGAGGAGGAGGAGGAGGAGGAGGAGGAGGAGGTTGGCGTGCCCATGAAAACTATTCCCCACATTTCCCCCTGTTCTCTGGGTGTCTGTCTCCCCCCCCCCGCTTCTCCCACGTGTTCCCATGCTGTCTGGGGGATCGGCGATCACTTGTGTCTGTGTGTGTTTTTGTCTCTCCTGAGGGATCCTGAGCGAAGGGCTGTCTTCGGACACGGATCCCTGTCGGAGTCTCCGGGGTTCCTTGTCGGGCGTTCGGGTAGGCCCCTCGCAGGACCCTCTTGTTGGTCCGTCCGCGGGCCTTCTCGGGCCGTCTTGGGGCGCGTTTGGATCCCCAGGAGTCCCACCGTGCCGTCTTGGAGGGGGTCGCCCCGAAATCTTGGTCAGAGCGCACACCAGGAGAGGTCCGGGGAGCAGCAGTATCGATACCTTTTGGTATTTCCCCGTTCTCGCAGTCTTTTCGCTCTCTCACCGTGCCCCCGCAGGACCGAGCAGCCCACGAACCCCGTGCCCCCGCCGTCGCCCTTGGAGTCCTTCCTGCAGCTGCCGCCACAGGCGCGGAGTGCGCTCCCAACGCTGGCAGTGCGGGTGTGCACCGCGGTGCCTCGTTTGGCCATAGTGCTCGCCAGCGGTGGCGTTGCTTGTTGCCAGAAGGGCGCCTCGATGCTCTAGGCCTCCCAGATGGTCACCACCCACCACACCACCCCAACCCAACCCGAAGGCCTGAATTCGCCGTTCGCCCTCCATTTCAAGTGGGGGGGGGGTCGGGGAACATCGAGAAAACACGTTTGGAACCCGTACCTCCCCCGAACCTGATATGCGGGTCTGGGTGGTGTGGTAGGTAGTCAGATGGGGTCCGAGTAGATGAGGTCGGAGGATAGCGCCGCATCGCCGATGCATCGCCGATGCGGCTCGATGAGGAGCCCGATTTGCTCCGCGCTTGCGTCGCCGATGCACCGCCGACGTCGCCGATGCATCGCTGATGCATTGGCGATGCATCGATTATGCATCAGCGATGCGGCGCGATCCTCCGACCCCATTGACTCGGACCCCATCTGGGAGGCCTTCAGATGTCGAGTGGGCGTTTACGAGTGCCCCGTCCAGATGTCCGTGCCGCGCTGGGCTCGAGGGAACGACGGCTGCCCAGCCTGTCGGAGGATTGCAGTGGTCTTGAAAGTAGCTATTTTGTGATTACCAGGTTCCAGTCTACCGTAAGCGCCTTTCTACTTCAATGATCGAGTGGCTTCACCTTGTCCGTCCTCCTTCGGGGGCGGACGGAACCCAATCGATTTTCAACGTCTTCCGACCGATGGGCGGACGGAACCCAATCGATTTTCAACGTCTTCCTACTTCATGTGTCTACGTACCCCTTCCGAACGATGGGTAAGGATCCCCGGGCGCAGGAGGGGCCCTTGGTTTGCGGGCCATGCCTCCGGTGCAGGTCTGGGGACCTCCTCGTGGCTGAGGCTCGCCGCATCCAGAACGGCTCCCTCGCTCCTCGTTCCGCATTCCTTCTGGCAGCACGGTAGCTGTATGGGGATCTCCCCGTCGAATAGTGTGAATGTGGGTAGGTTTGGAGGCAAATCTGCGTCGAGGCCTTGAAGGCTCGTCGTGACTGAGCCGGCCTGCAGGTGGCTCTCGATGCCCGGTTCGAGTCTCCAGGCATGGATCGCTGCTCCTCGTTCTCGTCCCTCTCCTCCCCCTTCCTCCCACTCCCCCTTCTTTCGGATGCAAATCCTGGGAGGTCGAAGCATTGGGCGTCGCCGAAAACCAGGCCACTTGGCACACTCTTGCTGAGTGCAGCTTAATCCCGCTTGCTCTGGACAAATCGAGCTAGTCCAGCCCAATGTCTCCTTCATCGGGCTTAATAGCTTGCAATCCTTCGCACGAAGACCTCCCCTGATTGCTTCCTCACCTTCTCACGCCTCTTCCTGAGCATTTTCCGAGTTGGATCGATATGTGTGTTCCTGGTGCCTGCAGCGCCCAGGATCTCAGGGTCGTTGTCCTCCTCCCACTCCCCCCCCCCTCCTGTGCCATCTTGCGCCTCCTCTTCCTCCACGCTCTCGGCAGCGCGCGGGCACCCGACGGGAGGCCGTGCCCCCGCGCGTGCCAGGGCAGCGTCTGCGTGCAGCATCTCCCCGCAGGGGCAGGGCGGTAGTCGAGCGGCCTCCAGAGGACTGAGATATGGCCCGAACGCCAAAGGGCAACGTGAGGGGGAGATAGGCTCAGGGCCAGTGGGAGCGCATCGACTCCAGATATCGCCCATGCATCGCCGGCAGGGGCTCGACAGCCCACCCCGCCCCTGAGCGTGCCGTTTCGCGGATCTGCTGGGGCGATCTGTCGCCAGGTCCTGGTCGACGTTTTCCCACCTGAGCCACCTCGCCGTACCGTTCCCCCTGGGAAGAAAGCCTCGCCCCCACCCCCCCTTTGGAAAGGGAGGGCTGGGGGGAAGGGGCGGGCAGCTGCAGAGGGTGTTTGGGGGGGGGCGAGGGGAGGATAGCGGAATGCCCGGGGAGGGCCTGGATCGAGGAACACGAGTCGGCACAAGCGCCCAAGATGAAGATCTACATTGTAGATCTTCACGCCGGGGCCCCGAGAAAGTGCATCTCTGTGGACCTCGGGGAGGAAGAGATCCTCGGGGGGGTCATAGGGGGCCCATTGGGGCGCCAAGGGAGCGCAGGTCCGAGTATCTATACCGTCGACTTTCGACCTTCAGGTCAGGGAGGTTCCACACTTCGGAGGGCCCTCACAGCGCAAAGGTGCCGTCTTGGAAGGCCCCGAGAGGGCCCCACAGGAGGCTCCCGGGAGCGGCCACGCGAGAGAGAGCTCTTGCGCGCGACCGCTCGGCGGCCTCTCTCTTGGAGGCGCCTTGGGGAGCCAGCTCGGGGCTCCCTGGGGGCCGCCCGTGCCCTGCAGGTGCTGCCTCGAGAGGTGCTGGCGGCGCCCCAGCGGGGCCTCTTCCTGGTTCCCTCCTCCTCCTCCTCCTCCTCCTCCTCCTCCTCCTCCTCCTCCTGTTCCTCCTCCTCCTCCTCCTCCTCCTCCTCCTCCCCCTCGTCCTATCCGCTCGAGATGGGTCCACAGACCTCTCCCAGGGTTCCTCCTGGCCCTTTCCTCCGAGGCGGCTCCGGCCGCGGCGACGAGCAGCCCTCCAAGGGGGGCCCGCGTGGGCGAAGAGCGGCAGGGAGGGCCGCCGCTGCCTCGATGTTGCTCTTGGGGCCTTCCGTGGGTCGCCCCCTCCTCCTCCTCCTCTCCCCTCCTCCTCCTCCTCCTCTCTCTCCTCCCTCCTCCTCCTCCTCCTCCTCTCCCTCCTCCTCCTCCTCCTCCTCCTCCCCCCCGTGCTGTGGGTCGCGCCTCCGCTCTCCGGGGCGGAGCGTCCGGCCGGCTGTCGCCGGATCGTCTCTCGGGGTGCCAGGGTTCGTGCCCGCCAGACCCCTGGGTCGTGGCTTCTTTCCCCCTCCCCCCTCCTCCTCCTTCTCCCCTCCTCCTCCGTCTCCTCTGCTCTCCCCCCCCCTCCTCCCTCCTCCTCCTTCCTCCTCCCTCCTCCTCCTCCTCCTCCTCCTCCTCCCTCCTCCTCCCCTCCTCCTCCTCCTCCTCCCCCCTTCGAGCTGCGGGCAGTGTCGTGACAGAAGGTTCTGGCCCCCCACCTCCCTGTGCTCCCTTTGGTTCGGAAAGCAGCCGACGGCCTCCGAAGCGCGACGATGACGAGGACGACCGCCACGACCACCACGGCAACCGCTACGATGACCGCCACGACGGCCTCCGAAGCGCGTCGATGACCAGCACGACCACGACCACCACGACGACCGCCACGACGACGCAGACGACGACCACGACCGACGGTGGCGGCGACGACGACGACGATGGAATGAGCAATCACAGTCATGTAAGCATGTACTTTCGAAGGTCCGCCCGAAGCTCTCGGATCTGCGCTGGACCCCCCGGGCGGCGCCTCTGGCGCAGCTCTCCGGCGCGCTGCGCGCGCCAAGGGGAGGGGTCCTCGGCGCCGACCCGAAGGATCCGATCAGACCTCCAAAGATCCCGAAGTCCATGCCCGTGCCGTTTGTGTCCTTCGGGACGAGGCATCCGACGACCACGACCGCCGACGATGACGACGCCGCCGCAACTCTCGCGGGCGATGACAGCGCAGACGACGACCACCACGATCAAGACCACGACTGGCGACGACACCGGGGCTGGCGCCGCCGACAACGACGACGACGACCGCGACCACAACGACGACGACGTCGACCCCGACGACGATCACGACGACCACGACGACGACACCGACGACGACACCGACGACGACGACCACGAAGACGCCGCCGCCGCCGCCGACGACGACGACGACCACCACGATCACGACCACGAACGCGACTACGACCCACGCGACCGAGGACGACGACCACGACCACGACCCCGACCACAGCCGACGCCCACACCAATGCCGCATCAGCGCCGACGCCGTCGCCGATGACGAAAACAACGACACTGGCGGCGATACCGACGAAGCCGACGACGCCGATGCCGACGCCGACGCTGTCATCGATGCTGACGCTGTCATCGCCGACGCTGTCGCCGACGCCGACTCCGTCGCCAACGCTGGCATCGAAGCAGACGCCGACGACGACGACGACAACCACGTGACGACGACGACGACCACGATCACGACCACGGCCGACGACGACGCCGCCGCCGGTGCCGCCGACGACGACGACGACGATGGCGAACACGACGACGACGCAGACGACCACGACGACGACGGCGACGACGGCGACGACGACTGCGCAGACGACCACGACGACGGCGACGACCACGTCGACGACGACGACGACGCCGATGACGCCAACGGCGACGACGACCACGGCGCCGACGACGACTACGATGACGACGACGACGACGACGACGACGGCGACGGCGACCATAACGACGACGACGGCGACGACGTCGACGGCGACAACCACGCCGACGACGATGACGATGTCGACGACGGCGACGACGACGGTGACGACGACGACGAAGATGACGGCGACGACGGCGACGACGACGACGGCCAGCACCGACGACGACGACGACCACGCCGACGACGACGACGACGACGACGACGACGGCCACGGCCACGGCGACAACGACGACGGCCTTGGCGACAACGACAACGACGACGGCGATTTCGACGGCGACGATGACCACGGCGACGACCACGCCGACGACGACGACGACGACGGCGACGCCGACCACGGCGACGACGGCGACGACGAGTACGACGACGCGGACGACGACGACCACGGCGACGACGACGATTACGATGACGGCGACGACGACGGCGACGACCTCGCTGAGGACGACGACGATGACGGCGACGGTGATGGCGACGGCGACGACCACGCCGATGACGAAAACGACGACGACCACGACGACGGCGACGACGACCATGGCGACGACGACGACAACGACGACGACGACGGCAGCGACCACGCCGACGTCGATGGCGACGACGGCGACGACGGCCACGACCACGCCGACGACGACGATGACGACGACGGTGAAGATGTTCACGA